AAACCAGTTGTCGGTCAATAGTTTCTCGTAGATTAAAAGGCTCTAAAGTTTAAAGATCAACAACATAATGATAGCAATGTGGTCAGTATTACGCAATGGCCTCTTTTTTCTTTGCAGGTACAATCTTGCACTCATAAATTTGAAGCTGAATGGAAGTCAAGCCACCACCGAGATGAGAACCTCTGACTTCACAATCTCAGCTTAATGCCTCAACTACTGTACCATCGGACCTACATTATTTTGATTGAGTAGATGTTTCCTTGTATTACTGTTGTTGTCGTAAGCCATAAAGGCAAGAGGTGCGAATGTTCTTGCTTTCCAGTGGCGCCATCTACGACGAAAGATTCGACTTCTACCATACCCATACGTCACACCCGTTTTAAAGTCATACCCATTTATACATCCATTCATTCATCCACAGATCGTAATTTTGACCTGAACCAGAGAACGATCCATCTGCAATCCAATGTCCCCAAAGGTATAATTTGTTATGGGAACATGGAGGACTTTGTGACTCGATAGATTTAACGTGCACCAGTCTCCATTGACGACGCGGGGAGTCTACAGCCGGATTAATTCGAACTACCGTTCTCAAGAACGTGAGGCCACTTGCACATGTTATCCAATTTTTTAAGAGATGAAAATTCCAAAATTACAAATCCATAGCAACTTAAATATTATAAATTCTAAAAAAAAATTTCTACAGAATTTTAGTTTTGGAGCACAGTTAAAATAGCATAGCGTTAAACTAAAATGTATCGTTTCGACCCCCAGAAATTTTAAATAAAAATTTCCACTTTTGTGGGATATGGAGTGGAACCAGATCGGCAATCGCGTAAGTGCAGTCAACAGAACACAAACAATATGTCTATGATTGCAAGCTTTACCTTGAATAAAAAATTACACTTTGACATTGAAAGTTTTCCGTATTAAACCAGCCATAACGCCGAAGCAAATCAACGAAAAAAATATAATCTTGTAATACGATAATATTTTAACCTCCGAAATCTTGCGTTGAAAAAAAAAGCAACCAGTTGGTTTCGTGAAAATTTTAAAATACAAAACATTGCTTTTGAGTAGAATTTGCTAACAATTCGAAATAATTAAGTCCTGGGCTGTACTGGCCCAAACATCTTCTAGAGTTAGACAAATACTTCTGAAACAATCTGATAACCGAAAAGAGTAAATTTAGATGTACTACGCGCATACTTAGCAATCATTAACATCCAGTAAAAAATTTTAAAAAATCCTAACATATAAGACTAAGTTTATTAAATAAAAAGTCATATTTGTAATTTAAATTTCTTTTATATATTAACAACTTAGATTCTAATTTTTCATGGTGCATAAAAGTCCTTAAATGAGAATATATTTATTAATATCTATATAATTTAAGAAGAAAAAAAATTAATGCTTACATAAAAACTTATTATTATGGTATTTCCACTTTAATTATGTTTGAATTTAGTTGTTATAAAAGCCTTAAATACAAAAAATAGTAATGGTATAAAAAAAATAGAGACCTAAATAGCCTCCTCAAAGAAATAATTGACTTTTTTCCCCTTGGAAGTGGAAGCCTCTTGAAGAATTATTAAAATAAATCCACTAAAAAATACATCGCTTTACACAGCAACTGTACTATACAATAGTTTAAAACATCTAAATTAGTCTCGTATTTAGAAGAAAATCAAAGCTCAATTTTATAAAATTAACTTATTTTTATATGCATGACATTTTTTAAATTAATTCATTTACTAATTCAACTACTGCTTCAAAAGAAAAAAAAACGTTGTTTGTTCTAAATTTCCAAATAACATGAATAAAATAAAGAAAAAATTAAATAAAGTTAAATTTTTAAAGTTCGAGACAAATAAATTAATCTTAATTCTGTGAACATTGCTTCATTTTTTCCTCTCCTCCAATTCTACAGAGAGATGAGTTCAGAGTGAAAGGAGAAAAAAAACTTGATAAAAGAAATCCATGTATTAAATGAAGCACATTTTAACTAGAGATGGACTTCTTTCATAATGGAAAACATCACACTAGGGAAGAAAAAAAATAGATTTCTTTTAACTCAAGCGGGAAATAAACCATTTTTAAATAGAAATATTGAGTATTGAATGAAAATTTTAAACAGTTTCAATAGGTATCAAGTATAGGTACAATGTATTATGTTAGTATATTAGACACGAATTAAAACCGCATCAATACTTAAAAAGCTTTAACATAGATACTGTGGAAAAAGATTTTTTATGTCTCTCCGAAGGAATAAGTACCGCAGAAAATAACATGATTGCGGTAAATTTCGACTACGATCATCAAGCAACAGCATCATGCCAAATTATATTGAATAGGGTTAATTTTTATTCTGATAGGATGAACTACTTAAAACATGTTTTGCTTAATTTAATAACGTAAAGCCACCAAAAAGGAAAAAATATAATAGAAAAAAGTAATTATTTTAGCTTTATTCATTGTGTTGGTATGCGTTTAAATTTTGTGCACGATTTCGTAGCTTTGTTCAGTACTAAAATATTGATTGTTTACTTTTTTCACTTCGTTCCGATAACGAATATTCAGATAATTAACCATAAAATTACATGTAGACTCTTAAGCGCAAATAAAAATAATTAATACTTTAAAGTTAAATAAAGGATAATAAAGATTGCGCAACAAATTTAAAAATCAAAGGATCATTGTACATCGAGAGGAAACTGAACCATCGTAAAAAACGATGATTTTTAGCAAGGCATTCCGCCAAATGAAGGTTATCCAGTATAATGAACAAAAATATACGAAGCGGAGACAGATAGTATTGCGCCAACACTAAAAGGAAAAATTCCTTTTTTCTTTTTTTTTACTTGTGTGTATTCGCACAAAAAGCCTTTCTTTTTTCCATATTAGTATAAGCGAGAAATCACGACAAAAAACTAACGCTGATTTATATAATACAATCTACACTTTTTAGTACAACCCTTTCACTATTAATGACCGATAGATTAAGTCCCGTTTGCTATTCCTGAGACTCAATGTTACTTTAATGCTCATTAGAAAGCTTGTATTGAATTGTTCACACCAATACAATTAACCAGCAGCCCGCGGGAGCTTCTGGGCGCAATGATTTTCTTCTTCTTTTAAATGTCGAAAATTTTGAATCGCACAGTTGAGTATCACTTTTCGATGAGCTCAATTTTCAGAGATTCTATTGTCTATCTTGCTTCACGTTCGCTTTTTCAACGGTTATTGCTACAAAATTCCGTAAGGTTTAAAAAACCTAATATTTTTAATACGCTATTACGATGCATGGATTTCGAATTAGTGTAATTACTTTTTAACTTGCTTTATTTTTGTCGTTATAATCGTGAATCCAAAGGACCAATTTCCGTGAGGTTTTAAAAATTCCGATACATTTATTCTATTACGACTCGTTATTTATAAATCGCGCATTTAATTAATCATATTTTAATGTGCTTTTTTATGTGATTTCATCGTGAATCTAAATTAATTTTTTTCTTTTTTTAAAGGCAGTTATTGCCATGCTTTTGAAAATCGAGTATTCTTAATGTATCATTACGACAAGCGAGTTTCAAATAGCACATTTGAGTTATCACTTTTTGTCGCGCTTTACTCGTGCTGAATTCCATTGTAAATTTAAGAGGGTTCTTTTTTTTTGTTCTATTATTGCGATGTTTTTACTACTGATTTTTGACGATCCCGTAATAATTTTAACTACAAGGTTATTAGAAGACGACAGTTTTTAATCCCGCAGTTAAATAATCACTTTTTGAAAAAATTTATTTGTACATATGCCATTGTTAATATAAATTATTTTTTCGTTAGATAGCTCTATGCATTTGCACGTGATATTTAAATCCACGATATTTTAAAATATCGTGGAACATTATCGAAACATGAAACTTTCGAAAAAGAGAAGGAAAACGCAAATTTTTTAATGGCTCTCTTAGTAGTGTTTATAATTTTTTTTATGTGATTTTTTAGGAAGAACGAAAAAAAAAGTTTTCTATTTAAAATTCATAAAACCCCTAATAATTCAAGAGATATTATTTGAAGTATACTTAACGAATATCGCATCACATTTTGTACTATAATGGTTTTAATTTTTGGTTTAAACCTTATAAATTTTCTTTCAAGAAAATTCAAACTTACGAATTAAAATATGCGATTTTTTTATACCTTCACTCTCTGAATATTTCTTTTTCTGTTAGAATTTACTTTCATTTCCCAAATATTTATATCGATTAAATTACTGAAAAAAAAAGGGGGAATTTTTAAAGATAGAGTACCCATAAAATACAGCAACCAAAATTTAGTCATTTCCCACCATTCCTTCTTTTGAAGCTACACCACTATAACTATAAAACAGCGCAGATATAATTTGAACAAAATAAGTGTGACAAAGACCTCCTGAATACTTTTTTTCTGAGAGCTAGGTGGTTGTAATTTACAATCATTCATAATCTGGGTAATTTAAATACTATAAATTTATCAATCATACATTTCCTGTTTGAAAAGTTGAATCAATTTTTTTAAAAATGTCAGAGTTCCCATCTATAGTTCATTTTAGAGTAAAAACAGTCTTCAGTTATCTTGATTTATGTTCTCGAAAATAGTAACCCCGAACCTACGTATATATTCAACATAGAAAAAAGTTGCTTTATTTACAATTCTTATTAAAGCTTCACATTGAAAGATAACCTTGGTAGAGCATTTTTTTTTTAAGCTGCAAGTTAACATTTACAAATTAACATTAATTCAATGGGGCAAATTATTACCATTGCCTAATAACCTGTGCTCAAAACCTAGCCTCAGTATTTTCAGAAAAAGATTTTAATTTTGTAGGCATGAGAATTTTAAAAATTAGTGAGAAACATTTTAAAAATATTTCTGTAAAGCAAATTAAATTATTACTAACCCACATTGTTTTGAACACTTTGAAAGTTAATCTTAGCACAAACATTTTAGAAATAAAACACTACTGATAACAGATAAATTTCTTTATTACAGAAATGTCTCAAGTAAGTACACAAAAAATATGGATAAATAAAAAAGAGTAACACCCAACTACCACATCACAATAATTTTCAGAAAGACAGAACGTTTTAAACTTGGAATGAACATCACTACAATATTTTTTTTTAAGACAAAAGATATCAGGAAAAAAAATACACATGTTGAACTAGAAAATACAGAATGCATAGTTCTCCAAAGAACAGGGGCTTAGATACATGTTAAAAGGAAAAATAACTTGGTCCCCAAAATAAAGAGTGTTAAAAAGTTACAGCAAAGCATTTTTATCATACAGCTCATAAATTTTAATAAGCAATAAAAATTATAAAAACAAAAAAGAATATGTATGTAATTGAGCTCATGTTCGTCAGCCGCCAACATGCTACACAGTTAAAATTTAAAAACAGCGAAGCCGGGGTAAGTATAAAAAGCCAAAGTACTTTGGAAAAGTTAAGTGTGGGAAAATTCAAGAGCCCCTTCAATTACAGGTGGTGTTGTATAGATGACTTTCAAACAATCCAATGAAATGGTACCGAGATGGCATACTATTCTTCTTCGATGATGTACAACATGCAAAGTGTCTCCTCATTCGCATTAGCAGGGGCAAGTTTATGTCCTGGTGCAAGCATCGAAAATCCAAGAAACATGAATGTTCGAACAAGAGCAACTGAAATAAATTGAAACAAGTTAATGGGAAACCTGACCGATGCTTGTGCAATTAATTGAAGTTTAGCTTATAATGTTAAGTTCTGACTTGTATATTCAATTTTATATATATAACATTCTGAAATAAAATATCTGAAATCAAATAAGATTTTTATAATTATATTATTACTCTACTAGCTGATTAAAAGCTTCTGGGCAATTAAATTTTATTTAATACTATTTTATCTTTTACAATGCAGGCCTTCAAACTAAAAATTTCACTTTCTTAATTTTACAACTTTTTACTCAAATTAAGCTTATACTCAATACTTTTTCCATAACAGACACTTATTTCTAGAGGGAAAAAAAAACGTTTTTAAATACTATTCTAAAGAAATTGCCACTAATACATGTTAACCAATAAATCTTTAAACAGGCCTTAGCCTAGCTAAGGAATTACAGATTACAGTACAAATAATTGAGTTCAGTCGAGTAATTTGGGAAAAAAAGTAAAAAAAAAAAAGTAAAGTAAAAAGTAAAGTAAAAAGTAAAAGTATTAGTCTTATTTCAACACAAAATATAAACCTACAATAATTTGATCTCTCACAAGTAGATATCTTTTAAAATAAATAAATACGCAGTCAGAATCTTTTCTTCACAAAAGAAAATATTTTTAACTGATCTAACTGTTTTATTAACTGGTATGAACAAAAGATTACTAGAGCACTTCCATAGTTGTAAGGGACAGATATTTTATCATTGCATTAAATTATAAAAAAAAAAAAAAAATTGTACTAGAACCCATCCCACACGTTCTTATTCAAGGACACAGCTAATCAAATCATACTAGAAAAACTGCAGAAAAAGAATTCTGGAGAATGATTGCCTTTGAATTTACGATAATATAGTCAGCGAAAAGAAAACCCTGGAATTAGATTTTCAGAATCTACTCAAAACTTCAAAGAATGCTCAGCCAATGTTGCAATTGAGTAAAACTAGACAATTAGCAATGATTTCACCTAGTATGTCATCAGCTAACATAAAACTATAGAAACAAAATTCAAGAAATACAAGTTTCACTAGTTGTTTTATTTGTCTAATTACAATAACTGAGCAAAAAATAAGATCAGTAATTAACCAAAATGGAATCCTAGCTTACACAATATAGTTTCACTTTGATATAATTGCGAAGTAGGAGAACATTTAGTGCTTACTATGTAATCACCAAAAATATCCGAATTATTAGATTAAAAAAAAAAAAAAAATTTCAATGAACGCATAGTTACCCTTGTCTCGCCTGTTCTTATTAAAGCAAACAATGACATGTGAACACTGCAATTCATCTTCAGCAAACTCCAAGAGTTGCAAAAACCTGTTATTTAAATAAAAGTTATCTAAGTGTTAAAATGGAAAAATTTGTTAAAAGCAATAAAGGGCTCATTGAAAGAACTTTAAACTGCATTTCAGTTAACTCTACAAAAACAGCTTAAAAATTCATAGAAATGTAAAGAAAAAATTATTTGACTGACTTTTATAGTTATAGTTCAACTATAAAGTGTTGCGTTCTAAGAAGTAAATTATTATGCTCACTATACAGGGTAAAAAAAGTATGTAATCTTACTTGTATTTTGTTACTTTTTAAATTTAGTATTTTCCCTTGTTCTTTTTGGGAAAGCATAGGTATTTGTAATGAGGATAGTTTAAAGAAATTGTTACATTTTTCTGAAGTTTTTAAAATTTTTCTTCTTAAAAAGTTTCTTCCTAACCAAATCATGAAAACTTACTTTAATGGATTTTACCTGCATATGAATTATTATCTTTTTTTTGCTTAGTTCCTTAAACAAAAATATGTTACAGAATTTATTCAACAAATTAATATGTATTACCAAATTAACTTTTCACTAAAAATTCTGAAAGTAAAAACAAAGATTTAATAGTTTTAAAAGGAGCATAATTTAAAATTCCTTTTACGTGCAAACATTGAATTTTGTAACATTTTCCTTCATTTTAGAAGTTTTATACCTTTGAAATAAAATTGAATGCATTTAATATAAATTTTTCTTAAATTTATGAAATTTACGATTAATTTGAAAAATCATTATTTTTTTTGTTCTTTTACTTGTACTTTTTACTTGTTACTTTTTAAAAAGTAACGTTCCCATGTATGATGATCACTAAATGCCATTCAATAAACATATTCAGCCACGAAGATAATCTTGTTGACACAATACTTACGATTCCTTTGATCCATCACACATGCCACCGTCTGGAACCTGGACATAAAGCCGTCTCTTCCAAAGCACAGAATTCCACTGCGTTACTTTTGCATCACTTAGATGGAAGTTGAAAGTGAGCAATACTGCATCATCTATAGATTCCTTCGTCACCTCATCCCACTAGAATAAAACATGTATTCACAAAAATATAAAAACTTTTATTAATACATTTAGTCATAAGCCATTTTAATTGAACCTTAAATAATTTTTAAGATAGTAATTCAATTTAGTAGCAAATTCTGTCATACATTTTCAAATATGCACTATCAATTATATTCCAATTTTTTTTTTATATTCAAATTATGAAGGTGAAAAACTAACAGGACATAAAACATGTTAGTTAACTTGATGTTGCCCAATTCTTTTTTAAATTTAATCATCATGTGTGTCAAACACTAACACATTTTCATAACTTATGAATCTGACCAAGACATGGCATTTAGCTTGAATGTCAAGTAGACAATATATTTCATTATAAAATGCCTTTGTGATATTTACATCATGTAAAAATAAAAATGTAGACAGAATTTTTAAAGAAGTTTTACAAGATTTGGTCAAATTTTAGCAATAGAAGGGGAGAGTTAGGCATTAGTCGTAAACCAAAAAAATTGGGTCGGCTGTTCGACGCCGGTGATGAAATAAATGTGAGAAACAAAATCTAAATGAAAAATGTTCAGGAATCTACAGAACATTTCAGTAAAAGAATTTATGGTACGCATTTTAATATTTCTGTTAGAATAGTTACCTTCACTGAGACTGTTCCAGTCACAGGGGGCTCTTTAAATTTCCCCACACCGCTGCCCTCTGCATTTAATAGCAAAACATTGGCGGCATGGGGCACATCAGGAACACCACAGAGACCCTGTATCAATGGATATTGAGTACTGGTGGGGCTGCATACTATAGAGGAAAACAAAAATCATTAACCATCAACAAAAAGAACTAAAGCATTTGAAAAAAATAAACTTAAGGGGTGAAAATTGACAATTTGGTTTAATAGAATTATTTGCTCTCAAATTTTACTAAAGTCCTATGGAACAGATTTAAGTTAGTGTTCATACAAAAGCAAATATGAAAACTAAATTTTATAAAAAGGATAAAGCAATGTTTCCACTACAGTGCGAGAATCTCACATATTTTTCTCTTTTCTCGCATTAAAAAATGATTAACACGAGAAGTTCGTGCACTGTATTAATCAATTTTAAAATGCGCGAATCTCTCAAATTTTGGAAAAAATTCAGTCTTCCACCATTTTGAAAAAGACATGAAAACAGCTACGACAAGTGTTGGGAAAAAAAAAGTGAGTTCTTTATAATAAGTTGTTTAAAGTTATCTCTATTTTTAGCTGTTAATGAATTACCAAACTCCCTCATCTACAATTTAGAGCGATGTGTAAAAGCGAATTAAGACAAAATATTGTAACAGGTCGACTGATAAGCATTTGAGCAAACCTAATGAGAATAGCTGATGAAAAAGTAGATATAGAACATTTTCCATATGATAATGCAGCAAAAGTATTCAATGGTTTAGAATTTAGAAGATGTTAAAAATTTATTATAATTAAAGAAATATTTTTTTTCCAAGTCTATTCGTGTTTTTTTAATTTTTAGAAATCTCACCCTGTTTTTGAGAAAGGGTGAGAAATTCTCTTCCATTTTTTTTCTGTAATGAAAACACTGATAAAGGTATAGAAAATCAATTCTTTCTAACCAATTTCTAATTGAAATATAAATCTGACATAATTTTAACCTGCCGACTTCTCTGCACAGCAAAATCTGCTTTTCCATGTTATTAGGTAGGGAAATATTGTATTGGGAAGAAACATTATCTCGATTTTGCCAACTTATTAAACCACCAGTGGGTTAGGGAGAAATATTCTCAGATTTATCAGCACCTTTCTAAATATATTAAAAATTGAACTTTTCTTTGACTTTTATTAATGTGATTTAATAGCGTAAAGAAAATATTTGCTTTGCTTGAATAATTACCTTCACTGAGACTGTTTTTATTTGGTGATAAGCCTAAATTTTAAAACCTAAAATTTAGTTTTAAATTTTTAAAAAATCTCCACCATGGGGGAGAGAGATAATTTACAAGAAAAGTATGTCTTTAAAAGAGTCTTCAGAAATTAATTCACACATCTATGGTTAATTAATTATACTACACATCTTTCAGAACATTTATGGAAAAAATTGACAATTTAACAGCATGTTTTCTGTTACAGAAGTTAATATTTTGAAATATATTAAGTAAATCAGATCTTTTCCAGATTGAAACACTTTTTTTTAAACAAATCAAGGGAGATATTAACAAAATAATTACAGCTCAAAAACACTGAAATATAGCTACTTCTTTTGTAACAGGTTATCTGCAGTTGAAATTTTAGAATACATTTACAGATTTCACTGAAAGCACGGCTTTCACTTAAAATTCAATGTAATTTTCAATGAATCCAAGGAAAATATTATAATAACTTAGTCGATAATTTCTACTTTAATTTTAGGAAAAATTTAAAGAGCTTTATTTGAAATTATGCTAAGCCATTAGAAAAAAGTTAATTTATTAAAAAATCACTTAAACATTATATAAACATCTTCCAACTGCCGACAAGATTCTTTAGTGAATATTTTTGTTCCTCATTCCATATAATTCTTTTGAATATTCTTTTAACTTTGCAACCAAATAATTTTGGTATTTCAATTTATCAATAAAAAGATAACTTAGGTTACATTTTTTCAATAATTCCAAGTTCAATAACTTAGTTTCCAACTAAACAGAAGCTTTAAAGCATTTCAGATGATCAATTAATAGTGACATTTTGGTTTGTTTTTTCACAATAGTTTATTTTATTATAATATTGATATTCTCTGTATTGCAATTTCTACTTAACCTGTCAACCAGAGAATAAACTTTTGTCTAACTCTCTTCACAATGGAGACTTTTTTTCCTTCATAGTTATGAATAATATCACCTCATAATTTCCATGAAAAATGCATCATATCTATTGCAGTCATGTATGGCTAAATATTCATGTAAAAAGTTAAAGTATGACTAATATTTTGGCATGCTCAGATAACAGGTAATATTCATTCTATCACCTAGTTTGTTTTTTTTTTAAAGAAAAAAAAAATCAAATAAGGACTTGTAAACAGATCAATGAAAATATATACAAAGTAGCAATTTCTTCAAGTTACTGATCGTTGAGACCAATGTCAAAAATCTCTTAGTTTCCACTCCAGGATTAAATAAGCAACAGTCTTTTTTAAAACTTCAAAACATACATTTTATAAACTATCAACAAGCAAATAACATCTAAGTAGGTTAAGCAGTAATCAAATAGTTAAAAAAAATTTTTTAAAAAAAAAAGGAATTTTTGAGTTTTTATTGAAAATTTCTTTACTTATTTATGGATTATTTTAAAAGACCATTTTGATTATATGCAAATTTAGGAGATTTATTATTTGTGAAACTAATTTAAAATGAAAGACGAATTTTAAAAGTTTAACTTCTAATGTTCATAGATATTTTGAATAAAGAAATTAAATGAATTAGAACTTAAATAGAAAGTCATGAAAAGAAAAAAAAAGCTTTGCTTGCAAGTATACAATGTTACAAGCTTAAAATCTATAACTTTACAATGTTTCTAATTTTTATTACCTCAAATTTTTATCTAAATTGAACTTAATATTACAATGCATGCAAAAAAAAAATAATTAAAGATATTGAGATAGATTATGAATATTAAGATATTGAAAATTGAAGGGAGATTAATAATGTGAAATTTGTAAACAAATCAACTTAATTATAATGGCTTAAGTTTTCAAAAAATAAAACAGTGCCAACACAAAATGAACTATAAGTTAAATTTAGAAGAAAAAAATTTTAATCCAAAATCTATAGAGAAATAAAAAATAATTGATTATTTCCTGTTACTACTGTTGAAACTTCTTTTGCTAAATTAATCTGAACGAAATGTTAATAAGCAGACAATAGAACTAATTATTTTTTAACAGGAATTTAGCATGTATAAATTTTAAATGTGCTTTTAATATAGTCAACTCCTTTAAGACCTTAAAATGCAATAGGACAACAAAAAAAAAGCCACAGGTCAAAGCATAATAAACAATTAAAAAAAAAAGAAATTTTCGTTGCATTTATTGAGCATTATGTATTAGTCAATAAATTTACTTTGAATCATAATACATTTGCAATAAATATAACTAGAGTTTTAAGCAACGGAACTAAAATAATTTCTGGAACATATTGCATAATTTTAATGAAAAAGAAAAAAATTTTTAGAGCTTAAAATGTGCTGAGCAATTTAACAACAAATAAGCGACGTGAATTATAATTTGTTTACACTGTAAGTGTGAGAATTAAAAATTAAAAGTTTGTTCGAATTTCTTGACACTAAATTTTTATTATATCTTAACCTCATTTTTTTCAGTAACCATATTTATTTTCTTAAATATTTAGATACCCTTAATTACATTTAAAACTAAATTACTCTTTCTATCATTTTAGCAGACTCCTTGGAATCGAACGCCTTTTAGATAAATGCTAATTTTGCATAGCAACAGACAAGCAAATGGGAAAAAAAAATAAACAAAATTCCCTTTGGGTATTTCGCCTATTTAAAAATACAATTTATTCAGTTAGCAAGTTATACCACTACTCTACGAAAAGTCGGTCATTGAACATTGACGTCATAAATCGGAAGATAATCTATATTGAGCAATACTCCAAATAAGCAAGTTATAAAGCGATTTCCACTAATAAAAAAATGTTTCCAGGTGTTCAATATAATATAAATAAAAAGAAATAAATCAATTATCGATCTACATTTTCTTTGCCCTTGATTGTACCTTGCCAACTGCGCACATAAAGAGGGAGGAACTGCAGAACAAAAACAAACATTAATTGCTCAATTTACACAAAAATTTGAATATTAATTTTTACTTACCCTAACTTAAGATTACTTGGAATACTACTAATAGCAGGCATATCTTCAAATAACTGATTAATACTCTCTTTATTACAATTTCCAAAGGCCTCAAGTCTAACGCTCATCACGACTTAGAACTTGACAAACTTAAGAAAAAAATAATGAAAGTGAGCAGATATTTATAATCACATATATTGACGTCAGAAGACAGTTAGCGCCATCTATGTTTAAGGTAGATGAAAAATATTTCGTTTATGGTTTGTGCATGATTTTAGAATATGGTAAAATTGATTTAAATCAAAGATAGAAGAATCGAACATTTCTTTATTTCTTTTAGTAATATTTTCAGCTTTTGATATATATAGACAAGCAATATAGTTTCTTATAAATCGTGCTAGTGTTTTTTTTTTATCTCACTTTTATTTTTCACTAAAATTTGTTTAATACAAAGAAGTCATTCAGTAATCAAATAATTCTTTGTCTAAAAATAATTTAAATTAAATTAATTAATGTTTTTTGTTCTAAAAATAAGTACAGAATAATGATTTACTGAAAATATTTGCTGTAAGTGTTTCAATTTATTTTTTGTATTGAGATAAAAATTGTTATTAAAAATTATTATTAAATAAAAATATTGTTAAATAATTAATATTGAATTATTACACATACACGATCAATGATAATTTAACTTATTAAATTAATTTTTGATATTTCATACGATCTCCAAAACATGACTGTTATTTTTCGTTCGGAAGTTGTTTCTTAAATTTACCAAAATGTCAGAGAACTTGAAATATTTTTTATTCTAAATAATAATTTAAATAATTTCTAAGAATTTTCCTTTTTTTCCCTTCAAAGTCTCTCTTTTAAATATTGATAAACAGTAACATTTAATAAAAAAATATAATCCTAATTAAACTAATTATTAAAAATTTTTAATAAATGAAAAAGAGTTCTATTCTGCAATTAAGTTTTAAATCTCTTAGACCGGCAAATCGGGGAATTTTTAAGATAAAAAAAAAATCATAATTTGATTAAAAAAAACACATTTATTTAAAAAATAAATATAATTATTGTTAGAAAATTTAAATTTTTACTTCAAATTTTTATAAATTCTAAGATATAAATGATAATAAGAAAAAATAAAAAGAAGAATGAGCATATTCCAGTTTTAGAAATAAATCAGATAAATAATCCTAAAGTTCGTGCCCCATCTGGAAACTAAATGAATTATACATAATTATATGCATGTAATACATATTTATATAAAAAAAAATACAAATAAAATATTTACGATGTTATTATAAGATGTTAGGCCTAAGAAAATGATGATTTTTCGAAAACGTAGGGGGGGGGGGAACAGAACGTATGAAATGAAGATAATTAAGAATAGATTGAACGTAGATTTTAATGACATATATAAAGAGGAATTGGTTATACTGAGCTAAACTTAGACGACATTACGAACTCAATGATACAAAATCACAATTGTTAAGCGTTCTGATTTTACAGAAATATAAAGTGGGTAAAACGAAGGCAATAAAATAAAAATCAGCATAATTTTTAAGTGACAAAAGAAAATTCATCTTCTTAAATTATCTCTTAACACAAATCCGGTATAAAATGAAAATGACACGGTTTTGAGAAAAACGCGTTCGAACGGTTTAAGTATTCGAGTAGGATTTCTCATAAAATATGTAACTATATATTTAAAAAATTTTGTTTTATTTTTGGACAATTCCTCACCAAAAGTATTAAAAATAAAATAACCAAACCAGGCATAGGGGAAATTTAAACGTTAAATCATGTATTATTCATTGTTGAAATAAATTATTTAGTTTAATTAATGGGGTGATGAATAATTACCTGGAGTAGGTTCATAGTTCACGGGGTAAATATCAATCACTTCTCAGTCGCTTACATCAAATGAACCTAGAAAGTAAATAAATTAAAATAAAATCTTCAGAAATATTTTTCAAGTGTCCTAAAAAGGAGAAAAAATTCTATTTTTGGCACTCCTTAAGACAAAAAAAGTAAGGCGCATCATTTCGACATACGTGACGGGTAAGTTTTGGTGGTGATTAACAGAAGTTCATTACGAAAGTGATGAGCATTTCTTATTTCTTACATTCTACATTTCTTATTTTCGATGTGGAAAAAAAAAGAATTATTTGCCCCTTTTTAATAAACATGAAAAAAGGTGGTTTTTAGAACTTTTATTTTACCTTTTTCTTCTTTTTTATTGCTGACTTATTTTTGTGCATAGTTTAGTTCTTTACGTTTTGTCTGTGTTTAGTGTATAGGTTTCCCGCCCGTTTAACAATACAAACATTTTCAACGCAACCTTAAAAAAAATTTTTTTTACATATGTTTATTGAACTAGAAGGCACCACTACCTGTTCGCTTCGCTCACCAACCCCCGTGGTTGCTTCTTATTCATTATTGAAAATCAAGAGAGGAATGGTTTATGTCCTTAATTTGCAAATATTGCTCTTGGATTGCCCTCAGTTGCATTTTGAATGTGATTAAATTTTTGAAAATCAATAATATCGGTACCCCCTCAACCCGAGAGTCAATACTCGGTAAAGATGAGCCGTGTTGTGCAAAATCAATTCCTGCCTGTGCGCAAATTCGTTTTTCCTCAGAATCAGCTTGAACGAACATAAACTGTTTTTACCTCCTTAATAGTCGATAAAAAAATATAATTTTGTTAAAAAAATATATAATTATAATAGTTTTATGCAATCACATTTTATTAAAACGTTAATAGTAACGAAATGAAATGATATTTAAATTTAAAAAGTAATCTAATGTATTTGAAGAAAAAAAATTACACTTATAAATGCACATTAGTAGTGATACAATAAATGAGAAGAAAATTTACTTGTTAACAATATATAACGATGATCTTATATCATGTAGCAGTTCGCATTATCTCCCTTCAGTCTTTATATTTTTAAAAATTCCGATTTGGCAACACCTGACCTCGCTCTTATTTTTTTTATTATTTAGTTATTTACTTATTTATTTCAAGTCAAGTGCAAGCTTATAAAAGGAAAATTGCGAGAGAGATAAATTTGTTTACAGCAATGGATAAATAATTATTATTTAAAGAAAAGAAAAATAACACTTAAAATTGCAATAATTTTTGAACAAATAGGAATTTGGACAAAAAAAATATTGTTAAAGTTATAATTCAAAACGGTTCCATCAGTACGTCTAATTTCAGCTTGCAGTAGATTAACCAACAAGTTTTTATAATTACAATTTAATTACAAAAAGAAACTATTAAATAACAAATCGTTTTTTTTTTTCCTTTTTAATTTTTTGTACATTTTTCTACACACCCTTGTAATTTCAAGTTTTCTAAGTCTTATAGATTGTGAGCAGCGAAGCAAAATGTATAGTACAGCAAAAATAATTGAGAACAAAAAAAAAGAGCACTTAACATAGCAGCTATCGAACAATTAGAAATTATGAAAAAAACTATGTTATGTTTATTGAAAATATAGCTCCTTCAGCATGCCGAATTTCAATCCCATAGTTGCAATCCTGCGGCCTGTAGAACGGCCCATATGGTATTTTTTCCAACAAGTTAAACAGTTAATAATTTTCGAACTAATTATCAAGTGTTCTTCTTTTTTTTTTTTAAATTCCATTTTAATCAGCCAACATGTTTTTTTATTTATTATTATTGATTTACAGGTTTAATCGTTGATAATTCCTTTTTTATTCCATTGAGCTCCTTGTAACACCTTAGTAATTTCAAGTGCCTAAGTCTTATTGTTTTGCACAGTGAACACACCCGAAACAGCTTCGGCGGCCCTTACAATTTTTTCATATAGAGAGACAGAAAAAAAAAAACTTTCTTACACTCCATTTTCTATGTTGTGCACATTTAATCATACCGTATAATTTATTGAAAATTACCCCTGACTAATGATTTTATATTTTCAAACTTTTTTTTCTAGCAAATTTTTTCATTAAAGTAGCTTTTTAAGAAAATAAGATATTTGCTGTGAACTTAGTAGTGCGCAATATAACTTATAAACAAATGATTTTCAAAAATGAGTAACAGTTGTAACATTATGTTGATGATGAATAGAAAAATAAAAGAGTGAAAATAATTTGTTAAAAATTCAAAAAGTTTGAGTTTTTAAAAGCTAAAATAAAAAAAAAGTAATCTCAAGCTACTAAATGTAAAACACTTTTCGTGTTGAATAGCAAGCAAAGCGTTATTTTCATTCTAAAATTGATTAGTCATATTTGTCTCAATAAATTCTTGAATTAATTGCTTTTATAACATGTATTTTAGGCTGACTATTAAGGGGTTAATATATATCAGTCTAAATATTTATTGATCTTACAATACAAAAAACTAACTTAATTAATTAATTAAAATTAAATAAACCAAATATTTAAAAAAATTTTCTTCTGCATTAAACTTTTACACTTACGCTAGAAAGTCCTTACTGGGTTACGATGGCTATGGTTTAGTTCGTGAAGTGTTTTGTTGAGTTTATTTCTTGATTATGCTGAAAAGTGGTCGAAATTTCGATTGATGATAATAAAAGAGAGATAAATTTTGTCTACAACATTTAGGAAATTTGTATTTTTTTCAGACATCAGTAGAAATCTCTGCCCTCTATAAGTGGTCGAAATTTCAAGTAACTATGAAATGTTTTGGGGGGTAAATTATGCTTGTAACAGGAAGGAAACGATTTAAACATGTATTCTTAACCAGCAAAGAGCTCCAATATGAATGTAATCGGAAAAGTGGTCGGAATTTCGATTGACGATAAACCTCTTTGAAGATAATTTTCGTTTGTGCTAATCTGAAACGCTTGCATTCAAGGCCGTAGCCAGGATATTTTTTCTGGGGGGATATGCTAAGAAGCAAGGACAGTTTCAGACATGCAAAGTAGGGGGAAAACATTGTAACAAATATTGTTTATTCTGTTTGCAAAAGTTAAACTAGTAATTAAAAAATATTACGTAATAATTATTTTTCAATTAATATTACATAATAATTATAATCAATTTGTAAACAAAATTTACAAAGACATGCGACGGGGATTTGAAGAAAATTTTTCGATTGCTTTTTTAGGGCAAACCGGAATATCCC